GGAAGCCCGGGGCGGGGTCGCCGCCTCCGCGTGCCCTCCCAGCTGTCACGATCCGCAAGGTGGGATTCGTGATGTGGTTCTTTTAGCCGGTCTTAGAGTACAAAAGATTATCAGCAAACCAAGGACTTAAACAAGAAAACACACTTTACTGAGTGCTCATCAGCACTAATATGCGATAGAGGGAAAGAAAAGAGAAAGCAAAGCATAAGGAAAAGAGAGTAAGGGGATTATAGCTACCAACGTCAAAGTCCACTCAGCCGTCCAACGACGCAGAGTCTTCTGTCCATTGGGGAGATCTCAAAGGAAGGTAAGTTTGGGGTATAATTTTATAGTCTTTTACAGAGCGAGGGGCGCAGGGCCAAAACCAGATGAGATTGATGATCATTGTGATGAATTCCATTGCGCAGGGAGCAGGTGTATGGAAAAGAGCGATCCATGTCTTGCAAGTCTTTGCTCACCAGCAGGAACAAGGACAAGGTGTTGTGGAAAACCTATTGCACCGGGTACCACGCACAAGCCTCTGCTCACCAGCAGGAATGAAAGCCATGAGTCGTGGAAAACCCGTTGTGCAGGTTACCAAGCCTCTGCTCACCAGCAGGAACAAGAGCAGTGTACCGTGCAACCACCTGCAAACAATCACTGAGCAAACATCCATCTCAGCTAGGCCCAAACCCCCAAACCAAGTCCTTTGTGATATTCAGGGTCTCAGTCTCTGTCATTGAGACGGTTGTGAGACAGATGAGGGAATCTTCGGACCGTCTCTTACAGAAAGCTGTGAAAATGCGAAGGATAGGAGGATAGCAACATTTTTCCAGGGCTCCTGCAATTCCTGATAATGAAAAAACACCAAGAACCTGCTTTTCTCTAAACAAGTGTCCCTACCATAACCAACCCCCCCCCTGTCCTCACCCTGCAAAAACTCATATAAGTCTAGTGTATAGTTAGTTCTGCTTTACCATCCCAAGTTTTGTGTCTGCGTAGTCAGTTAGGAGAAGAAAAAGTTGGGTAGGGGGAGGAAAAGTATCTAGGAGTTTTATTCTGGTTTCTTATACTTGCAATCTTGATAATAAAGTTTCTTTATTCTCGCTAAGTTTTCAACCTGTTTTAACCTACTCCTAATGCATAACACACTAAAAAAAAAAAAAGAAAAAGAAAAAGAAAATGGAGTAAGTTCCCTGGTGATTGCGGCGAGCGCAAAAAATCCACGTCGTTCTTTAGTACATTAGCCGGAAAAGTGAAATTAGCACATGTCCACCACTAGAAGGACAAGTCCAGTGAGGCGGTGTGGAGGGAGCTTTAGGCTGGTGTCAGACAGGCAGGCTGATGAGGGAGCATCAGGCAGACTTCCAGCAATCCCTACGTGGCAGTGCTCACCACAAGGGCCGTTTCCCTGGCAAAGATCCCCTTCCCTGCTTCCAAGTACATTAGACACTGGAGCAGGTGACACTTTCTTTCATCTGTTGGTTGGTTGTTTTGCTAGGGGGAGAAGGCCGGTTCCTTATTCCCTTGCTCCAGCAAAGAAAGTTACTTCTGCACAGGCTTTGCTGCACTTTTCCAGCACTGGATGAGATTCCCATACACTTTTAGCTTTGCAGACCTCCAGTAGTAACTGCAAAGGCATTGTGCGCTATTTCCTCCTTTTCTATGTCAGGGCTTTAGAGAACTACAAGCCTTGTTTTGCCCAGGGAACGTTGCTTGCTTCTAGTAGCCAAGGAGGAATATGGAATGCAGAGCCATGTGCAGTGGGCTTGAATTAGCCCTTTTTTTCATTTAACGGGAGTGACTTAGAATCCCTTTGCTGTGCAAGCTGATGATTTCTCCTGAGTAGAGCAGGTTGGCTGTGATGTGAAAAGCAAGAAAGTTGGAAGTGAGAAGTAATGGCCTGTCCCTCCTGCTTGTCTCTTTGCACAGAGCCCAGAAGCAAGAGCAGTTTCAGCCCTGGCTCCCTCTGCTCCTGGAGAGGGAAGCAAAGAGGGGGAAACTGAGCAAGAGGAGCAGAAGAGTAGAGCTGTGCTCACCGAAGAGGTGGAGCCATCCCAGACAGTAAGTGCCAGTTCTGGGTGGAGCTGTCTTTAGTGCGGGGCAGAGCTGCAAGTTTCTGGCCAGCCAGCGCTTGCTGTT